TGTGGAAACTGAGTGCAGAAGGGACGTGCTGATCCGGTTGGACCACACATTTGATAAAGTAAAATTAGTATAATACTAACCTTACTTTCATCCTTCACTTTGTCCTTTATTTGCCAAAACTTAAGCTGAAAGTGCCGGTAAAATTGTTTGGTTGTAACATCAGAACTGATGTTTTACTGTTCTATACAAGTAATCTGAGTTGATGTGAATTAAAATTCGGACGCGAGTTTTTATCTCATTTAACCTTGACGCTTGCTATAGGAATAACCACAATCAAGTGTACTTATGATTTGTTCAATTTGTGTAAATAAATGATTGCATAGTCTTTTATGAATCAACTTGAACTCGTCTGAACGTTCACTTATTGTGTCACTTTTCACTTCGCACAGTCAAGATATTAAAAGTAATGAGAAAATACCTTGGTAAAACTTTCCTCATACTTTATGTATGAGAGATGTAGGAAAAGCTTAATTCACCCTAAGCTCTCTCCCCTACAAGTTTCACCCCGAGGCTTCAGAAGGGTGGCTAAATAATCCTAAAGGAGGATTAATTTAATCTGGTTTATCAGACTGACAGGATGGTAAAACAAGCTTCATACCTCTGAAAGGCCGTCTGCCTCATTGGAAGCACATTTTAAAAAATCTTTTCACTGTCAGTGTCCACATCCCAGAGGAACACCTGAGACTGATAAAAATAACTCGTCTGTCTCTGGTTAAAGASCCATTTGTACCCACAGAGGGAGGGAATAAGCATTAACCTGCTGAAACCCAGAGGAACTGGAKGAGACCCTGGTCTCAGCAGCTGGTCTGGATCTTCAGCAGTACCTCTCTCACAGGGTCAAAGGTCAAACAAAACCATCCCAGATGTTACCAGAGCGCCACAGCTGGATGTGATGAGCTGCCGGGTCGACGGATGGAAGGTGATGAGAAACGACGGGATTAAAAATGACAGCAGGGCTAAAATTAAAGCAGGTATGAAGTGGTGGTGAGCAGCTGTGGGCACAAACTGATTCTCTTTCATGTTTTCACAGAACCTCAGAGCAGGTAGAGCTGCAGAAAGAAGCTGAAACAAGAACAAACCTGGTCTGAAGCAGCCACAGTTCAAGCCAAACTTTAGATATATCACGCAACGTGTAGCCCTCATCTCAGCTACTGCCACAGCAAGTTTCAGCTCAGCATCTGGAAATCTGACTGAATCCAGCCGTTTGTGGTTTTTCATACCAGCTTTACATTAGCCGTCCAAGAAACAACTAAGGGTAAAAATGTTTTGTAAAAAGGCTACAGAGTCCTGAGTGACTGACCTGATTTAGTCATTTAAAATCATGTCAGACAAAATAAGTAAGTTAGCAAATTCTCGTCTTTTTAAAGACTAAAATTAAGAAAATTAATGCAAATAACAGAATTACAAAAATAAATTCCAGCAGGAGAAACATTTTTTCCAAATCCTATTTTTCTAATTACAAAATCTGTTTAATTAATCACCATTAATCAAGATATTTTTGTGAATAATCATGATTAATCTCGAAAATTTTATCTTTATTATTAGAACTGATAACTATTATGTCTGAATGAATAAAATATACTGTTTTGCATCAGATATATTAACATGTTTAGCACTAAAACACACACACATCCTTGTATTTACATCAAACTGAGGAGGTTGTATTGACTTCCATTCATTTCTGTAACTGTATTTATGCCTAACCCAGACATTTTTCCTAAAATTAACCATTACTGGTCAATAATTAACTCTAACCTGAACCAGAACTTAATTCACTCCATACCTCTAAACCYAACTAGYAAAGCACAGCAGAGCTGCAAACRARGTGAGGACCAGGAAAAATRACCTCACTTTGTTGATTAAAAATCTAACATGGTCCTCACTCTGTAGGCAAAACATTTACACACACACACACCTGGCAGCACCTGTGGGTACCAGAACCTGAAAACCAGTCAATAACCCACATACTCAGCTCCACTACTCATCCCACTAATGCATGTTCCTTACAAATGTAGCACCATTTAAAAAGGGAAATTAACAGACTTCCAACAGCATAAGATTTTCTGCTGAGAAGCATTTTTACAACAAAGAAATAATCCAAACACTAATACTTACTTTTTTGTATTAGGTTTATGTATATTTATACATAAACACAGAGTAAAGTACTTGCAGGGACTATATCTATATTTATCATATATTCAGTTGATCTTTTCAGCAGCTTGTGAACAAAAATGTCTCATTTCAACAGAAACTGTATTTTTTATCTCTGGTTAAAACAGGTTTGTTCTTCATTCAGTGAAGTTACTTACAGAAATGTTATTAAAGTAAGAGTAATATTTCATAATATTACTAAAATAAAAGTATGGTGTAGTAAAACTACTCCTAAAAGCACATTTTTCATAAAAAGTTACTACAGTAAATGTAACCACCTTGTAGATTTAAATGTGTTTAAAACTTTGTGAAAGTTTCATTAAAATCCATCTTTTCATTCAAAACATGAAGTAAAGACTTTCAGTGTCTTATTTAAACCATGTGGGACTTTTTCAAACACGATTTTAGACAAAACACCGTGTTTCTGTCCGTAAGTGGGTTTGTTCTGCATCATGTTCAACTGTTGATTTTATCAGCAGAAATAAGTGATTCAGTCCACGTGGTTCAGATTACAAACCTCACAAAAACTAAATAAATCCAACATTATTCCTCTCGTCCTGCGTCGTCGTGTTCGGCGGCACWAAGATAAAAGTCCAGCTTTGTGTCGGTGATGAGTTTTCTGTTCAAACATCAGGAGCAGCTGGATCCAATCAGGAGGCAGAAACGTTTCACTAAACGGTCTCAGATGTCGCTGTTTGGGTCTCTGACACGAAAACGAGTTGTCGTGGAACATGGCCCGCCTGGCGGAGGGCCAATAAGACCAGCTCAGAGGCAGCATGTGCACCATCAGCACGAGAACAGCTCAGGTGAGTCAGACAAGAACCAAGACCGTCAGGCCTTCACAATAAAAGCCTCCCATGTGACGATCTAACTGAGGCTGATTGTGCGGTTCCACAAGTTTCTTACGCACCACTTGTGTTTCAGCGCAGCACAAATATCTGAAATTCAAGCTAATTCTGCAGCGTTTTTACCCAGAAAGTCCTGAACAGAATATTATTTAGAAAAGTTTTAAAATTTATGAGACGTCAAAGAAAAATCTCTTAAAAGGAATGACAAGTTTGCTCCACAAACATTTGCTAATTGGTGTTTTTCTTCTCTGAGAAGTTGTGGGAGTAATTTGTTTGACTCTGTTAAATCTGATTGCCCTGTAATCAGCTTTTATTGCTCCTCTGCGGTCTGACTTTAGCCTCTTTAAGCAGCCGAAACAAAGATGGTTAAATGTCGGGTTTCACGCTGTTAAAGGAGGTCCGGCTGATAAACCTGAAGAACACTGACCTGCTGCATTCAAAGACCCTCCACTCAGCTGACCTGCTGCATTCAAAGACCCTCCACTCAGCTGACCTGCTGCATTCAAAGACCCTCCACTCAGCTGACCTGCTGCATTCAAAGACCCTCCGCTCAGCTGGCCTGCTGCATTCAAAGACCCTCTGTCAGGAGGAAATTCTGGTGTTTGAGGTTTGGGTTGATGATTACAAATCAAACACAAATCCACCAAAACATCTAAAAATTTCAGATATACAATTTAAAATAAAATTTATTATCACTGATTATTGATCAAATAAATGCTGAGTCAGTATTTGAGCTTTTTCTAACCAATCAGAAATCTAATCAGTTACATTATTTTATACTTTTGAAACTTTATTTACAAAAAGTTATCCTCACAGAAATACATTAAAATCTGTTTATCAGAGTTGCCGTGTGCTTATTTTCTTACGCTACTGTTAGATCTTTAGCTATTGTCAGCTAACTTTAGCTTTAATCTATGATTTTATCTTTAAGCTAGTTTACCTACATTCAGTTTAGCTAACATTTCCTTATGTTAGCCTTCATATACTGTTTGTTGATTTTAGAGTTTTAGCAACAATTTAAAAATAAGTTATTTTACCCTTTTTTTGCTACATTTTTCTTTTAGCAACTGTCTTGCTAAATTTTGCTTTTACATTGAGTTAGCTTATTTTAGCCTTTAGCTACAATGCTATTCTGAAGCTTTATGTAGTTTTGCTAGTTTTAGCATTTTGGTTTAGCTTTTTGCAACTGCGTTGCTCATTTTAGCTCTTAGAGTTTATTGATTTTAGTGTTTAGCTACAAATTGTTAATTTATGTTTTTAGGAACAGTTTAGCTAGTTTTAGCTTTTTGGTACTGGTTTGCTACATTTGGATTTTAGCTAACATCTTGCTTCTTTAGCAGCTGTTTTACTTTTGTAGTTTTTACCTGGAGTTGATTTCAGCCTGTAGCTACGATTWTGTTTAAACTTTTGTGCAATTTTGCTACCTTTATTTTTTTATACTGATTTGCGAAATTTAAGTTATTGCTACCAACTTTCTATTCACAGCTTTCAGCTTATTTTAGCATTTACTTAGTTTGAAGATTTAGCCTTTAGCTACACTTGTAAATTTAAGCTTTTCTAAACAGTTTGGATAATTTTAGGATTTTTTTCTTTGATATATTGAGATTTTAGCTAACATCTTGCTACACCCAGATTTTAGCTATTATCTTGCTAATTTTAGCTGTAACCTAGAGTTTGTTGATTTTTGTATTTGGCTACAAATTATTTTGTTAATTTAGGCTTTTATGCACAGTTTTGCTAATTTCAGCTTTTTGGCATTTGTTGCTACATTTAGATTCTTGCTAACATCTAGCTAATTTGAGCTATTAATACAGTTTGCTACATTTTAGCTTGTAGTTACAGTTTTGCTACATTTTGATGCTGCTGCTAATATTAGCATTAGCTTTGGCTAACTTTAACTGTTTTTCTCTTAAACACATAGACATTAAAGTTTTTTGAACCACAGTAAAAGTAACTTTTCGTGGTTCCAGGTGACAGCTGAAGGGTCTTACCTGTCTGCAGAACTCCGGACCCGGACCCGGACCCGCCTCCGAAATCCAGGTCAGGTGAGGCTGCGCTCCTCATTAAAAACCCGAGGAGACAAACCGTCCACTTCACCCACAGAGGCATCTTTAAATTAWATTAAACAAAATAAAAATGTGTAAAGAGTCTCTGGTCCATTTAAGCAGCAGGCAGAGCGCGGAGCATCGTCTGTTTTCTGGTCTTTAACCCGAATATAAGATGAAACCTCCTCCTTCTCATCCTCTTCTTCTCCTGCAGCTGCATCCCATCAGCGCAAACCCCGCCCTCTTTCATGTCCGAGCCAATCAGAAGCCTGGAAACCCTCCACCCATCCTTCTATAAACCCATCACATTACAGCTCAGAAAACTCGTGGATGTTTGAAGAAAGTTGAATGATAGAAGTTTCAAAAGTAATAAAAAAAACCTGACTCAGGAAATGAAAAGAGCTTTAAAAATACAAAAAAAAAAAAAAAAACATTAAAGGGTTAGTTTAGGTCTTCATAGTRSGGTTCTGTGAAAAGGTTAAAGGTGCTCATTGTGAAGTCATTTTTTAAAATACTGATGTTAATAAATTAAATATTTGTAAGAAAATTTTATAAAAAGCAGTCAACTTCCAGGTGTTTGTTTACCTACAAAAACAGCCGAAGGGAACAGAAGAGTTGTTTGTCACGTATTTGGAACATATTTACATCCAGATGTGTTAGTGCTTTGTTTACATCRAGTGTGTACCTGCATTTCAAAACCCACTCAAACTGGATCACTTTAGTCCCGATTTTCGTCTCTAGTCGATGTATCTGAGCTGTTTGGAGTTACAGCTTTACCAAAAAATATCAGTTTGAGACAAAGTTCTAGTTGGAGTCAGATTGCCATGACAACCTGAACTCACAGATGATGGACACCCATCAGCAGCTTCTCTCTACAAAAACTGATTCAGTTTTAACATTTTTTTGCTCCTGGACCATCACCTCGTCTCTCTTCTTTGGCGATCGGAGGCCTCAGTCCAGATGCTTCACATCTGGATCTTCATCCCTTTTTGTTAATGATGCCTTTACTGTACGGAGCACAATGAAATTACATTTAAGAAGACACACATGACACAAACATGAGGGAACAGGTGATCAGGTCATGAGGCAACCAGCAGGGGTCGCTCTACCTTTTAAAAAGAAAAACTAAATACCACAGAAGGTTAGATGAGGATAAAATAACACTAGTGTTTGTTTTTGGAACAAACAAAAGATCAAAACTACTTATACAATTAAAACATGCCGTTTTGTCATATAATGAGCATTGTATGGAAGGCTGTTGTCATATAACTTAAAATATGTCAGGCCATTGTATCTTAACACTAGCAGGGCACCATCCGGGTGCTAATTTCAACTTGTGTCTGCTACATTTAGCTTGTTTTATGCTAACTGTAGCTATTTTCCACTATTTCAGCTATGATCTTCTTTTCTGTCAATTTCTGCTTTTTTGTGATTCTTCCTGCTAATTTGAGCTTTTTCTGCTTCTTTCAGTTGTATTCTGTTAGTTTCAGGTACTTTCTGCTACTGTTTATTTATTTGTTGCTAAATTTAGCTAAAAATTAAATATTTAGCTTGGAGCTAGTACTTAGCTTGCTAACTAAATATTTAACTTGCAAGCTAAATATTTAGCTTAGAGCTAAATATTTAGCTTAGAGCTAAATATTTAGCTTGGGAACCAATTTAGCTTGGAGCTAAACACAGCTTGCTAACTAAATATTTAAGTTAGCAAGCTTTTAGACTAAATATATAGGTTTTTAACAAAATATTTAAGTTGCATATTCTGTTTAAATTTTTTTTTTCATTTTTACATCATTAGTTTTCAGTTTCAATTTCTTCTTTTAGCTTAAAATATATATATTTCTGAACAAATTTTACGGCTCCAACTCAGCTCCACGTCTACGTCTCAGTCTGAACTCTTTCCAGGYTTGAGGAGAAACAGGAACTATTCTTTTTTTTTCCTGGACGGGACGTTTTCTTCTGGTCTGGAAGAGGAATCGCTCTACGGCGACAAATGCAAATTAAAGAAAGTATTCAGAAAATCTGGTTCATCTTTTGATCTTTCCTCATGTTTTTATTGGTGAAAGCAAACACAGAACACACATCAAAGCCTTACCTTTTTAATGTTGAGCCCAAATAAACGGGTCAAATTTGAAATCCTTTAAAAACACAACTGGAGCCACAGTTTTCATATTTTCTGTAGTTTCTTTCAGAGCAGGCAGGAAAATATGAAGAAAAAAAAGGCTTTGATGATGTTTGTCTCATTTAGCTGTACATCATATAATACATCTGATTTTTACAAACCTTCATACACACATGTAGAAGTCTGCTCACAGTCGAACTAAAACCAGGACCTGGACTCTGCAGGGGGTACAGCTACGGGGCAGAGGAAGTGTCGTCTTGTTGCATAGCCCTACATCTTTTAAATCAACAGTCATCTGCAACAACACAACTCTTTTTAATTTGACTTTTTGTGGGGTTCACGAACCTCGACTCAACCAGAAGATAAACTTGGGTCTGTATGGCAGAGATTAAACAGAATACATGCTGCAGGAGGCAGGTGCTTCTGAAATATTACAAAATGGCACTTTTCCTTCATCCGGACATCATTTTTTTTCTGTAGATCTGAAAGAGAAAGGCAACAAACCACAAACCCTTTAGACAAAAAGTACAGACACCACACTGTGACACCCCTCTCATGCACTACTTTGGATTAACTGGACAAATTCTGATTTACCTACCACAAAAGTACAAAAAAAATGTTTGTTTTTTGCATTAATATCAACACGTATTTGTTCTGTGTATCCCAGCCGCTCTGTTCCAGTAAAGTCCGTCTGATCCGCGGCGAGGCTGCGACACATGGCGGTAAACGAGGCACTTAGTATTTAGCCACTTAATGTCAGAAAMTCAGAGTCCCTCCGTTCCGACCGTCCTCTGAAACACCTTGTTTAGAAAAACACGCCAAACAAAGACTGTTGAGTACGGATGCACCGATACCACACTCTTTTAAACTGAGTACAAATACTTACTTTTGAGTACTTGTCAATAATGTGTATTGATGAGAGTAGTAATAAATATCATTACACTTAAACAAATATTCTTCTGACACCTAAATGTTGTAAATTTGACAAGAAAAAAACTTGACACCTGGATCAGAGGCGGCAACAAGTTTATTTTGAAGCRTTAGCCTAGCGCCTTAACTAATCCTCATTAAACAGCTCGTTAAGCAGCGGTTAGCTCACTGCTCGATGGATCCCCAGCTCTGCTTCTCCTGGAGGTTTTCATCCTCCTGCCAGAGACTGAGTGATGAGATTGTCAGGAAACTCGGGCTCAGATCTGTATTTCTTCTTCTGCTCAGTCAATCTCGTTAAAACACCTACATTTGGTTTCTTCTTCTGATTTTTATTAGCRGTTAGCAAACAACGCCATGGCGCCATTGACAGGTAAACAATGTCGGGATAGTTAATATAAATAAATACTCAGTCTCTGAGCTGGTATCGGTGCATCCCTGGTGTTTGTTAGGTGATAAATCAGAGTTTTAAGACCTGAATGAAAACTAGTTTTCTAATCTGCTTTGGCAAATAAACAAACTTGTGTGCTTCACTGGAGTGACAGCTAAATAAACCATAAAAAAAGAAACAGAAGGACCCATAAAAAGTCAAACGGTGTTGTGAGCAGCCATGATGGGATCRGGAATGAGGCGTTCAGTTCACAGCTTCACTCAGAAACATTTTGGCTTTTRTCTCGGGCTGCAGTGAGTTTAGAAACCAAGGCCAAGGGTTTGGTGTCTTCACATGTGCGAGAACTTCAGTGCAAGTAAAGGGGATGAAGCTGAACTTCCTCCGTTCAGCACCAGTCGTCCTCCTCCCGCTCCCTGAGACCGCCCGTTCCTCTGCTGGCGGACCCCAGGGTGAAGTGGTACCCGTTGGGCACTCCCCCCGCCCGCCTCTGCGCCACGGCCGCCGTCCCCTGCGAGGACGCCGCCGCGGAGGACGCAGCGGTCCTGGTGGAGTGTCCGCCTCCGTGACTGCTCGCCGCATCCTGAAAGTCCTCGCCCCCCTCCAGGAGGACKCGCTGAGAGGGGTCCGGCTGCTGCCGGGTCGAGCTGGCGTCCGAGCCGAGGCAGGTGATGGGAATCGAGGAGTCGCCGTGGCCCACGAGCAGGCGGTCGTGCTCCGACGGGCCCCGCCCGAAGCGGGTCTGGTGCCCCGTCGCCGGTAAAGGAGCCGAGGAGGAGGAGACGGACTTGAAGGCCACGGCGGGACGAGGCGTGAGCGGCGTCTGCGGGAGCTGTCTGCGACCACGCAGCTGTGTGTTCGTACCACCTTTAGCCACAACGCTCACCTGCCGAGAGACAAACCAAACAAAACAAAGAGCCGAAGTTTATCTTAAAACTATCATCGTCTACTTTAACTCTGTTTGTCTGACTGACCTGCTCCTGCCTGGAACAAAAATCAACACGAGAGTTTACGTTTCCTGCTAAAACGCAGTGTGAATGCTTAATGCTGAAAGATTTTAGCTGAAAGCTGCTGAAGAAGCTGAAAATGTTTAACAGCAGAAACGTTATCGTGAGTTCAAACAGCTGAAAGAACACCACAAGTAGTAATAGAAACAAACTGAAACTAGCAGACAGACGTTTGATGGTGAGTAAAAAAAAGCTCACAAAGAAAAGGATCACAAAATGTTGCAATTTGTAGGAAAAACAGCTAAAACAGCCAAAATTAGCAGAAAAATAGTTAAAATGTAGCTGAAAAAGCTGTAATTAGCAAAAAATTAGCACATCCTTGCTGAATTAGGCTGTGAAGATGAAAACACTTAAATTTGCTGAAATAAAGAAAGTAGCTAAAGAGATAGAAAACAGCTGAAATTAGAA